AAAAGTCCATCAGACTTTGCTGATGTGTTTGGGGATTGTAATGGTTCTCTTGAGGTAGGGACATGCTTTATATAGTCCGTTCCAGATCTGTAAAACGTCAATATTTCTCACACACACACACACACACACACACACACACACACACACACACACACACACACACACACACACAGGCACACAACCAACTTGTCTCATTTTGTCCATATGAGTCCTCTCATTTGTCCACTATTTTCAGCCAGTAGGGTATTGACTCTCTCGTTTCATTGTCCCTTTTTGCTGAGCTGTGATTTACTGTTGCATTTTTTGGGCATCTTGACTTCTTTCCCATATTCTTTATAACCCTTTTTGTCTTGGGTTTCATTTCTTTACATTTCTATGATACAACCCTTTTAAAAACAGTTCCACTTGCTTGATAGAAATGCCTCTTATCTTATTTCATTGTCTAGATTGTTTTTCATTCTTTTGAGATCATACTGTGGGTGACGTTTCAGACAGTCAAATTTATTGCAACATTTTCTAAAGAAAAAATAAAAATTAATTATTTTACTTCGAAAGCGAACACGATTTTGTTTCGTTTAAGTGATTGTGGACCCTTATATAATAATTTATTTTTAATAGATTCAACATTTTTGATTCCCTTTTAATAATCATAATAATAGTAATTAATTATTAATAATAAAATAGACACCACCCTCATTATCAAGCTGTAAATCAAGTGCATTTATCACATACTCATGTCAAAATCAGATCAGTGGAACTGTTACCATTTTATCCACTTTACAAAGATAAGACCTGTTGTTTCAAGTGACATAACAGTTTTCATTAATTTAACTTTAATTTCACATATACCAGACTAATAATACTGTACATTTATCAATAGCCTCGGTGATATTTTATTCATCTCGGTAATTTTAACTGACATGAATGTTCATCTAAAAGCTGTATATCCACAGAACTTCACCCTCTTCATGATTGCAGTAGCCCATAGTGCTGAAGGCCTCCATTACTGCACCTTCACTGTTCCTTACTTTGTAATTTTTTTGTCACATGCAACAGTAATTTTGTTACAAAATAGTGCACTTAATAGCGATCTGTTTCATAATTCCAAATCCTCTATTGAATAACTTGATGCATTATGAAGCTCTCATCAACTATGTACCTGTCACAAACCGGGGAAAAAACATCTCAAGAGTTGAGCTGCAGCTGCTTCAGACATCTGGAGCTTTGCAATATATTCTTTGTCAAACACATACAGGCAGAGCAACACTCACTGCTCCACAATGTTGAGCGAATGAGTCCCTCTTCTTTCCGATTTTGTCTTTTGTGCATTCATTCATTGAAAAGTATATCTACAGTATAGTCAGATAATGAGGTGATATAGCACAATATCTATGTAACAAATGGTACAGTAAGATGTTTTACTTTACTGTGTTATTACACAGAAATAGAAAATAGAAATAAACTACTATTGTGTTGGTTGTTTGGTTGTAGAGTGCCCTTTGGCACCTACCTGAGGGAAGAAGTTGAATCAATGCAGAGGATGTGAGGGGTTTGGTGATTTTCCTTTCCTCTGTGTCATCTGGGGATGTGTATAAGTTCGGGATGCTAGGCATTTGATGCCAATTATATTTTTACTTATAATTTACTTTTTTTACTTTATACTTTCTGCTGTCTGTTCATGCCTGCTCCTGTCCTGTTAGGACACAGACTGCAATTAATGTGCAGAGAACAAACTCAAGTATTAGTTGCACTGTAACTGGATCAGTACTAAATGTATCCAGCGACATATATCATACGAGCCCAGCTAATCTCCTGCGAGATTGCAAATCACATAAACTTGAATGTTTCAATGACCAAAATATTACTATTGACTGTGGTAACCTTTAGGACTGGGTGTGTCTGTTTGTTTGTTTGTGTGTGTGTGTGTGTGGGTGTGTGGGTGGTTTGGGCTGTCAATTATCTTGAATGCAGTCTATTGTAGAATCAAATCATTGTGTCACAGAGATACATTAATTAACATATTGCTGAGAATATCACCAAAACAGTATGCATTGTAACATTTGCTGAGCTACTATTAATTGCAAAAAGTATACATGATTGCATTGTTCAGGTGTTGCTTTTCCGCTCCATCCCGTTGCTTCAAACATGAATGTTCATGTTATATGATATTAACATTAAGATAAGCTACCTGATCTTATGTTGGTCACATTGCAAGGTGATGCTCATAGTATATTGTCCACTGTTGTAATAACTCTCTTGGTCTCATGGTGACGCTCTTTTATACTGTCTGACTCATGGTTGCTATGGCATGTCTCACATCATCTGTGTCAGTGGAACTGGAGTATTGGGTTAGAGCCGAGGGCTGTGTATGCATGCTGTTTGTGGATGTGTGGGTGTGGATGAGGGAGAGAAGGAGAGAGAGACTGGGTATGAGAGAGAGCGAGAGAGCGAGCGCAGCAGTGAAATGGGGACAGAGAGAGAGGAATCCGAGCAGACAGCCTCCCTAATAGAGCATGATTAACTCAGCCAGAGAAGCAGGCAACCGTTGGATTACAGCAGCATTTTCAGTTCGATATTTGGATGTATATGTTTAGGATTTAGCTATGATGTCGACTGTACATCTGTTTCTGAAAGCATGTTTAATAATGGATCAGCCATTAAACTTTAAACGGTGGCTGTATTTTTTATGGTTTTGCCTCTTTTTTGGTGTTTCGTTTGGAGAAGTCCGTTATATCCTTCCAGAGGAGATGCTGCGGGGGTCGGTTATCGGGAATGTTGTGCGGGATCTGGGGCTGGAAGTGACGGAGCTTGAAGCTCGTCGAGCCCGCGTTGTTGCAGAAGGAACTAGCCAGCTGTGTGAACTGGACACTGCGTCAGGCAATCTTTTGATCAGCCAACGGATAGACCGAGAGGAGCTGTGCGTGCAAGCCAGTGTCTGCATCCTGCAGTACCAGCTCTTACTTGAAGATCCCCTTCAAGCATACAGCATAGTGTTGGATATTGCAGATATAAATGACAACAGCCCAGTGTTCGCTGCAGGGGAGATACAACTAGATCTTGTCGAATCCACTGTTCTGGGGAGGCGCTTTCCGTTGGAGAGCGCGCATGACCCCGATCTGGGAACCAACTCAGTCCGTGAATATAAACTGATCCCGAATAATCATTTTGTACTGGAAATGAGTACCCAAATAAACGGAAATGCTTATCCGGAACTAGTTCTTAAAAAGGCATTGGACCGGGAGGCACAATCTGAACATGTACTGAAAATCAATGGAATTGACGGGGGAAATCCAGTCAGATCAGGAACTGCGTCTATTCATATCCGTGTTTTGGATGCCAATGACAATGTCCCAGTTTTTAGCCAACGAGTTTACAAAACATCTGTGCCAGAGAACTCTGCCATAGGGACTGTCATAGCAACGCTGAATGCCACGGACTCAGATGAAGGTGTTTATGGAGAGATAACATACTATTTCAGTCACCTGTCAGACAAGATGGGAGGAGCTATTGAAATTAACCCTCTGAGCGCAGAAGTTCGCCTGACAGGTGTCATTGACTATGAAGAGGCTAGTACGCACGAGCTGGATGTTCAGGCTAAAGATGGGGGTGGTCAGGCCTCTCACTGTAAACTTATAATTGACGTCATTGACGTGAATGACAACAAACCAATGATAGAAGTAAAGTCAGCCTCTGCTAACGTGGCGGAAGACTCTAAACCAGGAACTATGGTTGCTCTGATTAATGTGTATGACCTGGACACTGGAAGCAGTGGGCGCGTCACCTGCACAATCCCAGACAATGTCCCATTTAAATTAGTATCGGAGGTCAAAAACTATTACATGTTAGTGACTGACGGAATACTAGACAGAGAACTTCAATCCGAGTATAACATCGCAGTCACTGCCACTGATGCGGGCTCCCCGTCACTCTCCAGTGTTAAAGTTATAACAATCGTGATCAATGATATAAATGATAACCGCCCAACTTTTACGCAGAGCGAGTGCAATGCCAACATCTTGGAAAACCAACCCGTTGGCACATTTGTCATGCAAGTGAAAGCAGTGGACATTGACGACAGATCTAATGGTAAAATACTGTACCAAATATCAAAGGACACAAAGTCAGAAGTGTCCTCCTTCCTCACCATCAACGCAGACACTGGTGAGCTCTTCACATCACGCCTCTTCGATTACGAACAGTCAGTACACTTTCAGATTAAGGTGACAGCTCAAGATGGAGGCGACCCTCCACTGTCCACCACCTGTACTGTTAACGTGTTTATTAAGGACCAAAATGACAATGCGCCTGTTGTCTTGTATCCTGTGCAAACCATTGGGTTCATCGCTGAGGATATGGTGCCAATTGAAGCGCCTAGAGGTTACCTGGTTACCAAGGTGGTTGCTGTGGACGCTGACTCTGGCCATAATGCCTGGCTCTCCTACAGAATAATCAAAGCAACGCAGCCCAGCTTGTTTGTGGTCGGTCTGCATACAGGAGAAATCCGAACTGTGCGAGCATTCATGGAGGACGATGACCCGAAACACACTGTTGTCGTTTCAATAACGGATAATGGGCCTGAATCTCTCTCCGCCACCGCTACCGTCAATGTACTGATTGGCAACGGGCTGCCTGTTTTAAACGAACTTTTTGAATTTGCAGATGAGTCACAGGACAGCGATAACTTAACACTGTATTTGATTGTCGCCCTTACAACCGTTTCCTCACTTTTCATCCTTTTAATCAGTGGAGTGTTTTATTGTAAACTCTGCAGACGTAGTTATGTTTACCGGTCAACCACCGATAGTCTCCCCGTTTTCCCCACAACCTACCTCCCCCCTAGCTTCACGGATTTAAGCCGTTGTGGGACCCTGCTAAAAGATGAGCGGTATGATTCCTTCTTGACCACGGGGTCGTGGAGAGGCGATTTTCGTTTCGGCTCAAGCACAGACACTGACACACTAAAGCAAAGAAGCGCAGCCTATCAAAAAAACACGCTAAGGCAGGCGAGTGCAGACAGAGCTACTCTGAAGGTGAGGGCAGGTGCACCGCAACCTTGTTACTTGGTCAAATGAGAGTCGGCAATAACAATAGATGTTGTAAAAATAATCCCAGTGCATTGAATTAAGTTTCGACCCTTTGTCTGCCAAATATGTTCGAGTTGTATTTGTGCGTGAATATGCTGTCGATGCCTTGTTGGATATGTTTTGTAATGTTCTTGGAGTTTTTCCAATAGCCTCAACCTCATCCCCCATCACCTGACTATGAATATCGATGGTAACCTTAAATGAAGTGTAGATAGTTTATCTTCTGGAATATTTATACTAGTAGCATATTAGAATAAATGAAGTAACTATTCTATTTACATCTGTTTTATTTAGATTGTTTGTTTTTATCTCGGATTGAAAAAAAGTTGTCCGCAGACTGTTTACTTGTTGTTACTTAGTCAGGTCTGTTTTTTTCCCTGCCTTTTTAATTATTCTACTCTGATCTGTTAGTAGTCTCTCTCTGTCTTTCTGTTTAATTAAATGCATGGCATTCCTTTCTGACTACTCTATTTATCCATACATCTTCTGCTTTTGTGAGAACAATACAGTTGATGAACTGTAGTTATAGCTATTAATAGTATTACTTTGTTCCTGCTATATTTATCTTTGCTTCTGTTAATGTTTTTGTGTAAAACAGCCTTCACAGTTTTATTCATTGTCCATTTTGTGACTTGGAATACACTGCAGCCAAGTTGATAATGCCATGTTATGTTTTCACAATTACATGATGTATCATGTGACAGAGACATAATAAAACCTTTGCACTATGCTATGAATTGAACAATATGTGAACAAACCATGAGTGTACACTGATGAAAAATAAACTTGAAGAGAAGATTGTGTCTTACTTCTCCATTTGCCCATGAACTTTTGTAAAGGACATGTAAAGGACATAAATGTAGAACATTTATATCAGAAACCAAAACTGATGGCCACCATAACAAAAATCAAAGGCAACTCTAATCAACAAGAAAATGAAAACTTTAACATTAAACAAATACTCAAATGCATGTATTTGTAGTACAACATGCTCTTAGATCTCGAACACATTGCTGCCACTACTGCTAATAATTAAACATAATAAAAACGGTAATAGTGGCACTTTTGTTTCTTTCATTCTTTCATTCCATATGTTTTTAGATAAACTGTCAATTCAACTTTTCCAAGGCCTCTTTAGCATAAAGACACATAAAGGTTTCAGACATCAAACAGTAAGAAACTAAAGATAACATGTGATGCTAAAACAAAGCATTTAAAGTCGAAAGAAGCATAAAACAAAATGTTTTTATATGTATGAATCTTGAAAAGTATTGTAGTGTGGAGCTGCACTCAGATCAGTGGTTTTAGTCTTACACAACAGTTAAATGGTGATTTTTGTTTTTGTGTCACATTGTGTGTGTGTGTGCGTCCCTGCATGTTGCTGCCTGTGTCATGGTTATGAAGCAGAGAGGTTTTGTCATCAAAATAATCCCCATGTGAATTTGTGTGTGTTGCTGAGTCGTGTTACAGCTGCAGGCTCATTTGTGCTCCTAATTTCAGCCATGGAAGGAGGTGGAAAAACAAGCAATGCTTCATTTGTGTGTGCGTTACCGGCTCACTGTTTTAAGCAGTGTGGTTGACAATATTGGAGAAAGACAGAAAAGTATGTCAGTTTCACAGCATGGCTCATTTTAATTAACACAAGCTTCACAGAGTTTTCAGTAATTTCTTTTTAATACAGACAGTAAATTAGTTTTGTTTTATAGAAACGTTGTGCAGATTAAGGGATGACATGTTGGAAAACTGCTGAAACATTTTATATGTAATTGCAGGAGTGGGAATTTTCGAGAAAATCATGAAAGCTGCACTTATCTGTATTTCTGTATAATTAAATATCTCTCTAGGTAATCCTTTTGGTGTCACTTTGTCACTTGATTCTTGCATTCTACTTTCTAATATGATATACTGTCATTGAATTTTAAAATGTGATTTCCACGGACTTCATTCATGAAGCTGCTCTAAATAATAACATCATAGCATGGACTGGTAGCTTAGGCTGGCTAATAATAAAGTAAGCATAGTGTAATGTATTTGAAATGCTCCAAAATAGACAGAAAGTTATTTACAACAACTCCAGGTTGAATAAGAGGTGAGAGCTCTCTTTCCATGGCAGCATGTCAACACATCTAAGGTCTGCTGCCAATTGACAGCCTTCTGAAGACTCAATTTAATCAGGAAAAACAGGGCTCTATTTTTGGTTTGCTGACAATAGTCGGGAATAGAACAGAATAGAACTGAGCAGGATAAAGCGCTTACCTTTGTTGACAATAGCTTATTATTATTTACCAAAAACAAATAGTTCAAGGAAGTCAAGAATGAGACAACTTTGTGAAATCGATGAACTTTGAGATCAATCTGGAGTCAGACTATTTGTTTGATCTGATATGTCACAAGATCAAACCATTATTTAAGTCATTGTTTCACTGTTGATATGCATAAAATGCCTAATAACATAAAAGGATGTGACATGGTCAGATTTTGTTTTAGGACTCATACTAACTGTTTTCTTCTTTCTCTTTTCTTTTTTGGTGCACTCCTTGAATAAAACATCAAAATCCATCCAGCAGGTAAGATTATTTTCACTTTCCTTTCTTTTTGAATATCAAACAGATCAATGTTATGTTGGCATTGCATCTTTGTCAACACCACACTCAAACTCAGACGATCACTTGTTTACAGAGAATGAGATTCAGTTTGTATTTCCTTACTGTCTCTCTCTTCATCTGCATCTATTTTCACTACACACAGACTGTTGGACACACATATTTTCAAATGCTGCTATGAAAGTCATAGTCATACAAGACTGAGATTTTCGGCAGCAGTTTTGGAGCACAGGCAGCTGTATTGCTCTTATTTTTGTGTGCTGTGATTCCACTCGAGGTTTTAAACTACATGCATATTAATCACCCCGATATGCAGTCATTGCCTAAATAATGCAAAATCATGATGCGCAGAATGTTAAGCTCTGCGACAGTATGCTAATATTTTATTTCAACAGGCATTATTGTGACCTACTAAAAAATTGGCTTTCCTACTTGTGCGAGCATTATGTTGTGCTGCATGGAGAAGAAATATACTGCTGGGAAATGTGTCGGTGTTCGCTCATGCTTGTGGTTGAGCGTTGGAGTGCTTTCTGCTCAAATGTAGGTCACAGTCCGATTGGATCAGGCTAGAAAAGAGTATCTATCCATCTATCTGTCTATCTATCGTCATTTAACTCTGTCTGTATGTCCACAATTTGTTCTTAGAATGCTATTTTAAATATTTGGTTCCTCTCTTATATTTGAGATTGTTGTAGCTGTTATATTTTAAAAGGGCCTGCAGGATAATTGTATAACTGGGAACCACTTCCCAACACAATACACAGTATTCTCAGGCTTACCCACTTGCATTTTTAGTCTACTGACAATCTGTCCAATCCGATACTGAGAAAACACAAAGTGTGGCATTTTATACAGACTTGTATTATTTTAAGCTCTTTTATGTTCACTTAAAGTGGATGTTGTTGCCTACATCCCCATTATTACAAATTAGGCAGGAAGGGCCCGTTTGGGTGATTATACAGTTGGAGCATTGATCCACACATACTGATGATGATGTTTCTCTTAGTCACTGTTGGTGGTGCTGTTGCCTAAGCAGACTTTGATTCGTCTAACGTCAGCCTTATCACAAGTCACCGCCCGTCGTCGAAGGGAATGGGCGATAGTAGTGTGCATATATTCAGTAATGTTCTAGTACAGATGTTGGCATTGTGAGGATTTGAGTGAACACAGAGTTACGGTCCATTTTGTAAACGAGATACGAGGCCTCTCTTCTTATACGGATACATTTCATTTTGGATCATATATTCATGGGAAGAAATGGATATTCTGAAGAGCAAAGGTACCTCATCGGATTGGAGAGTCTCCATTTTGCTTTTTTGCCTTGTGGCTGCGGTTTGCGGACAAATTCGTTATTCTGTACCAGAGGAGATGAGAAAAGGGCTGTTTGTCGGAGACGTTGCAAAAGACCTGGGCTTGGATGTTGAAAGGTTGGTTTCTGGTCGGGCTCGACTTGTTATTGATGATGATAACCAATATGTCGCGCTGAACCAGAACAAAGGGCATATTGTCGTCAATGAAAGAATTGATCGAGAAAAATTATGCGCCAAGAAATCACCGTGTAGCTTTAGTCTAGAAATTGTCCTCGAAGATCCACTTGAATTATTTTCCATAACCATCGAAATACAAGATATAAACGATCATGCTCCGTCTTTTCCCAAAAAGGAGATTCATTTGGAAATAAGCGAATCGACGCCAACTGGGACAGTATTCCTGCTTGATAGCGCAGCTGATCCTGACGTAGGAATAAACTCACTGCAAAGTTACTCTTTAAAGGAAAATCGTCATTTTATCCTCAAACAACACACTCGCACAGATGGGAGTAAATATGCTGAAATGATGCTTCAGACTGGTTTGGACCGCGAGACGCAAAGCGAGCATGCGCTTGTATTAACGGCTGTAGATGGTGGGGAACCGCAGAGGTCTGGGACAGTGAGGATCCATATTGCTGTTTTGGACGCAAACGACAACGCACCCGTTTTTACGCAGTCCGTATACAAAGCATCTGTCTTGGAAAATGTCTTGCAAGGCACAGTTATTGCTAAAGTCAGTGCCGTAGATGTGGACCAAGGTTACAATGGTAACGTTACATACTATTTCACTCACTTAGAGGAGGATTCGTCATGTCCTTTCGAAATAAATTCTTGCACGGGAGAGGTTAAACTCATCGGTGACATCGATTACGAGGTTTCTCCAAATTACGAAATAAACCTTCAAGCAAAAGACCCATGGGGTGTAGTGGGCGTCAGCAAATTAATAATCGACATAGCAGATGTAAATGACAACAGCCCAATAATCACAATGGCTTCTTATTCGGGTAAAATTTCAGAGGATTCCCTCCCTGGCACGGTTGTGGCATTAATTAGTGTTCAAGATAAAGATTCCGGTAAAAATGGTCAGGTTCATTTAAATATTGATGAAAATCTCCCGTTCAAAATTAAATCGTCTCTCAGAAACTATTACACATTGGTCACGGAGCAAATCCTCGACCGAGAAAAGCTTTCCAAGTACAATATCACTCTCACTGCCAAAGATGAGGGCTTCCCGGCCTTATTAAGCAGAAAAACTGTTGTGTTAGACGTTACTGATATTAATGACAACGCACCGAATTTCAGCCAAAGTGTTTACAGAACACAGGTGATAGAAAACAATTCGCCTGGTGTAGCTCTGTTACAGATCCACGCTACTGATCCAGATCAGGGTCAGAATGCACGGGTATCATATTTTCTTATTGACGGGGAAGTTAATGGAAATCCGGTATCCACATATTTCTCCATGAATACGGAAAGTGGAGTCATTCAGTCTTTGCGTTCACTTGACTTTGAACAAGTCAAAGAATACAAAATACGAGTCCGAGCGCAGGATGGAGGGTCGCCACCTCTAAATAGTAACACAACTGTTATTGTACGTGTCCAAGACCAGAACGACAACCCTCCTCAGGTTCTGTACCCAGTCCAGACTGG